AAGTTATTATTTGCACTTAGAGCTGAGTTCATTTACTGCAATGACATTAACAAAATGAACGAGAGATAGTTGACTTCATTTTAATAAATTTAATTTAAATTTAGGGTGATGTGGTAGGCATGGCAATCCTGTCCACTGTGGGGGCCACATCCACCACGGCTACCACAGCCCCCTCTCTTCCCTCTTCCTCCGCACTTAAAACACTCTTTGTGAATCCCTGTAAGGAAAAAAAAAAAAAAGCACACAAGTTAAAAGGTTTGACAAGAGAACACCCTTACAAGGAGATGTTACCCAACTGACAACTATACCCAAAAGGGCTAAATGAATAACCCTAGTATCCAAAATCTCTACTTGTATGATAATAGTTCTTAATCTTTCCTAGAAATGCTGGCATACTGCAGCTTTTGTTGTAATTGGAAATAAAATATTTGTGTTTTGCAAACTAAGTTATATATATATATATTTTTTTTTTTTCACCTTCAAATCTTTCAGAAATGATCTTTATCTTTATCTGCTATACGAGAATTCTTAGGTAAAGGAATTTATTTCATGCATGTATTGAGATTGACAATGTGATGTACTATCATTTGTGTCTCTGATTGGACAAACAATGTATTTTCACAGTCATTCACTAATCCCAGCTTAATTTTGTTAGTCAGTAAGAAAAATCTCAGTATGTATTAGATACAAATATCATGAAAGTGCTTTCAATTAACACCATGAAAGTACTTTAACAATTTTAATTCACTTGCTGCGATACATAAAAAAACTCACTCATTCCATGCCTTTTTTTTTCTTTTTTTTTTAATGCAAACTAACCTGTTTGTGTGCACTTTCCATGGATTAATCTCTATTTGTTACAGATTGGAAAATATTGTTTTTAAAATTTAATTCATTTTTCTATGAGCATGACAAATTCAAGATTTTCTGAATATTTTGGAAAACAATATTTTTTAGAATAAATGTAAGGCTAGTTTACTGTACTGTAACTTGTTAGGTCACTACCTGCTATCCTTTCCTGTTTTGTGTCCATGGCTACCAGTGTCCTTGTTCTTGTATTCTATTTTACTAACAAAGAAAAATATTATACTTGGTTTGAACAGGTTTATTAAAGATACTGCACAACTTCTATAGCTATATAGGAAAAGGTTTCTTTGCACTGACAATAACAAACCAAGTGATAAAAACATTGCAAAATTATGAACTTCTATTTCTTTGTGAAGGTGTAGTCTGATCGTCCGGGTGAGTGCAAAGGAAAAACCACTAATCCAACATGAGTTCATATTGCTTAGACTTTAACAGAAGAATTTCACTTCAATGAGGCTATGATGTCACTATTCTGGCTTCTTACAGAGAGGAAAGACTCCAAATTGTTTACAGATGCATGACATTAATTTTGTTGAAATCTTAGTAATTAATACAGAAAAAAAGGAAAATATTACTTTGAAGTTTACACTTACTTTTAGTGATTCTGGGGATTAGAGGGGGCGGTAGAGGCAGATCAGCATCAACATCTGTGGTTTAAACAGCAAACTTATAGGTACGTATGATGCACGATCCTTGCAGTAGATAGCGCTATTTAAGCAACAGCGAAAATCAGACCTGAAAAAGATCAGGCCTGTACGGGATTCAAACCACTGAGCTCTGCGATACTAGTGCAGCGCTGCACTAGTATCGCAGAGGTCAGTGGTTCNACGTCAGCCTTTATAACCGTAACGGTGGCCAATTTACCATTTCAACTTTGTTGATATATTCAAATTAATATCTTACTAGACGTTTTGTTGTGCAGTATCGCAAAACTACAAATAACGAATAAAGATACTCAGCGATACTACACAACAAAACGTCTTTATAATGCAACACGCCAAATTGTTATTCAGCGCGGGCGAACTTCGCGGATATTTCTAGCGTACAAATACCGCGTGATATTTGTGCTTGTGTAGGGCGTTACTTGCACTCTGCGAAGCACAGTTGAATGGTAATTAGGAGGAATCACTAAATGAGTATCATTTATTTGCTCCAAGAACCCCACAATTCTGGGAAAATGTTGGGTCTGTGACGGGTTACATCCTCAATACTGGGAACTACGCCATTTTTAAACAAGTAGGAAAATAAACTTCAATTTGCACTATTATATGGCAAGGTGGTACTGAAGTAAATACATGCATGCTGATTTGGTTCATAATTGTTCAATATTTTGCCCTACAGACCATTTCCACTTTCCAAAAGATGGTAACCTGTAATTTTTTTGTTTTGAAAGACACCAGATGTAAAGCCCTATGGAGGAATATTGGCCCTCAGTTGTATTTGCGAAGACCTCTGGAAAATATTCTCTACAGTGGCCTTCGGGCTTGGTAATAAGTTATTATTTGCACTTAGAGCTGAGTTCATTTACTGCAATGACATTAACAAAATGAACGAGAGATAGTTGATTTCATTTTAATAAATTTAATTTAAATTTAGGGTGATGTGGTAGGCATGGCAATCCTGTCCACTGTGGGGGCCACATCCACCACGGCTACCACAGCCCCCTCTCTTCCCTTTCTGAATCCCTGTAAGGAAAAAAAAGAAAAAAAAACACAAGTTAAAAGGTTTGACAAGAGAACACCCTTACCAGGAGATGTTACCCAACTGACAACTATACCCAAAAGGGCTAAATGAATAACCCTAGTATCCTAAATCTCTACTTGTATGATAATAGTTCTTAATCTTTCCTAGAAATGCTGGCATACTGCAGCTTTTGTTGTAATTGAAAATAAATATTTGTGTTTTGCAAACTGAGTTAGTACAATAGATCTTCAAGGGCTTTTTTTAGTTGATCAATATTTAATTTTAATTTCTTTGTCATCAGTCAAAAATACTCACGTGAGTAATTACCTTTAAATATATATATATATTTTCACCTTCAAATCTTTCAGAAATTATCTTTATCTTTATCTGCTATATGAGAATTCTTAAGAAAAGGAATTTTTTTTTACGCATGTATTGAGATTGACACTGTGATGTACTATCATGTGTGTCTCTGATTGGACAAACAATGTATTTTCACAGTCATTCACTAATCCCAGCTTAATTTTGTTAGTCAGTAAGAAAAATCTCAGTATGTATTAGATACAAATATCATGAAAGTGCTTTTAATTAACACCATGAAAGTACTTTAACAATTTTAATTCACTTGCTGC